CTTTTTAAAATATTAGGAATTCAGATTCAGCAAGAGGAAAACATCATGACCAACTAATATTTACTTAGAAATGGATTATTCAACATTTAAAGACCTTTTGATGTACTTTCCAATGTCAACATATTTTTAAAAATCTGTCTCAATAGATGCCAAGAAAACATTTTAAAGTTTAAAATCCATTCAAGACTTTTTAAAATTAGCAAACCAGGAATGAAAGGAAATTTCTATAACATGATAAAGTATTTCTATTTGGAAACTAGATCAAGAAATATATTTAGTGGTGAAATATTAGAACTATTTCCATTAAATTCAGAAAGGAGTAAAGATTATCATATCTCAAACATTGTACAGGAGAGTCTTATTGCATAAGACAAGAAAAATAAATACTAATTACAAATACCAAAAAGAAATTAAACAGTTATTATTTTCAGGTACTATGATCATCTATCTCCAAAATGTGAGAGAATTAAGAAAAAAAAGACTATTAGAGATATTAAGTAAGTTCAGAAATGTGGCCAAATTTAAGCAAAAAAAAAAAAACTTAGTTTTTTCTTCATCGGCAATGATCAATTAGAAACTGTAATAGAACAAAATTCATCATTGCAAAACACTTTAAAAAACATTAATAAACTCAATGATAACTGGTATGACTTATAGGAAGAGCATTAATAACTTTTATTGAAAGACATAAAAGAAATCTATTCCTTAAAAGGGAGACTCAAATAGTAAAAGAATCAATTCTCCCTGTGCTAACCAATAAATTAAATGTAATCCCTATCAAAAGTTCTTGGGGGATAGCAATCTGGCTCTAGGCATGATGTGATACAGAAACTCAAAGTCAACATCCATCACCTCAGTCATTGGCCTTCGTGTGTTGGTTTCATCCCCAGATTTACTTTCTCCTCATAGTTATATGACAACTGTAGCCACTTTCAGCTTCTCCCTTTTAGTTCAACAAAAGTAGTTAAGACTTCCGGTCACTCAGGCAAATGCTCAGGATAAGCTCTGATTGGACCCAGCTGGACAGCTGACTCACATGCTGATTGTAATGCTTAGGACAATGAGATGGACAGGTTGGCTCAAGCCCTTGTCCCTGTTACTCCTGAGGATAGAAAGTCAGAGATGGTTACTGAAAGATGAATGGATGCTAGGGGCAATGACAATCACATGTCTACTCTATGGACCCACGTATACATGGGAATCTAATGTGTGACTGTAGTTAAGGAGTTCAATAAATAATGTGGTGCCAAAAGGATAGCCACTTGGAAAAAAAATAAATTATATTCTCTACCTCATGTCATTCACAAAATATTTATTCCGGATTAATTAAAACACAAAATAAAAGATAACACTGTATCAGTATTCAAAGAAAATATAGGCAATAAATACACAACTTTGGGTAGGGAAGGTCTGCTTACAAAGACATAAAATACAAAATGCATACATTTGATTTTATCATAACTTACAACTTCTCTATGACAAAATACAGTCTTTAAAAGTTACAAGATGAGATAAACTGGGAGAAAGAATTGGCTGTCTATCTATCTATTCCTATAAATGAAACAGATTGTTTAAAAATTTATGCCTATTAATTTAAAAAAGACGATCCAGTAGAAAAATAACTGAATACATAAGAGAAAATCCAAATGGCCAATAAACGTATGAAGATTGGCAAAATTAAAAAGACTGGTGACCTCAAAATATTGGGGTGGGAATGGGGAAATGGGTGTTTTCATAAACTACTGCTGTTTAATTCAGCCCAGAAGATGGCCTCATTTAGTTCAAAGAAAGAATTAAAATTACTTTTGGACAGTGGAGACCCACTGTCACATAGGGTTTATGGATGAGTGAGGTGGGTGGATGGTAGAAAAAGGAAAGAATAAACTAAGAGGAAATGCAAAATGAAACTTAAAAGGCCCATGTCATAGATAATCTATCAGTGTGACTCACAGGAAAGAAACATTTCTTGTGGGTGTTGAGGGGGACCTCTTTAAAGTACACAGGGGTTCAAACAACATCGAGTCCGAGAACCACAAGACCTCGAGAGAGGTTTTTCGAAGTAGTCATGCTTTCCCCTCACCACCTCCCCAACCCACCCCAGCTAGGGCACTCTTCCAGGATTGAAATTTCTCTCCACCATCACGGAAAATGTCAGAGAGGATTCCAGTTCTCAGAGCTGCCGCCAACATCCACCTCTGAAATGAGCAACGGGGCAGAATCAGACACTCTCTGGGCCCAGGGACCCCATCTATAAATAGGGATCATAATACCTTGTGTTATTGTTGGAGTTTTCAATGGGATGATGACTCTACACAAAGCCAAACATAGTGTCTGACAAAGTAAGTACTCTAATAAAGAACGTAATAAAATAAGCAAAGGTTATTGATCTGGTAACAGATCAGGCGCAGTGTGGACCAAAGGCACAGAGAAACAGAGATGACAGGCTCTAAGGGAACATGGGTGTCTGCTGATATTTTAAAGCTAACAATAATGTAACATATGAGAAAGAAAGTGTTACCATCTTTACAAATCAGTAAGAAAAAGACAAACATCCCAAAGAAAAAGTCAGCAAAGGACAATCATAAAAAAGAAAATATAAATGACTAATAAACATTAAAAAGTTCAGACCTAACTATTAGTTTAAAAGAAATATAAAATTAAACAAGTATGAAATTCTATTTTGAATCACCAAACTGGCAAGAACTTTTCAAAAAATATAATAGGCAGTCTCGCAGGAGTTAGGAAACGGCATGTTCATAACTGCTATTTGAGACTGTAAAATAGGACATTTCTGGAGGACAAATGAAGGTGCATTTCAAAAACCTTTAAAATGGGTATTCCCTTTTAGGAAATAATCAGGTTTGCACCACCATGTGCAGATTTGGAGGTATCGACCACAACCTCCTCCGTCCTCCCTCTTCCCCACACACACATCTATGGGGAAGGTTGAGCAACAATTTCCTGCCCCTCTGGGCACAGTCCACAGGACAGGTGGCCCCCACACCTAAGATGGGAGCGCAGGGCAGTGCAGGAGAGAGAAAGACAACTTCGTCTGGCTGAAACTGTAACATATGAAGTTGGAAATGGGGGTGGTCATTTTCCCCAAGCAGTGTCAGAGAAGATTGACCTTCACCGGAAAGGACACGGCAGCTGCCCAGAGAGGCGGGGACAGGAGCGAGGGTGTACTGTTCAGGTCCTCAGAGCTGCGGACACCAAGATGGGATATGAGGTGCAAAATGTTTACTTGGAGAATCTTCTGTGAAGGGTAAAGGAGGAAAAGGCAGGAAGGGCCTTCGGACCATGATGCGAGTCTGACACTGTGGAAGGAGAGCGGCAAGGAAGAGCCAGCCCACACTGCCGGTGGCTCCAAGCAGACCGACAGGGAGGCCGCACGCAAGGCTGCCAGGGAGACAGAGCCGCAGAGGGCTTCTGGGCTCCCTGGACAGTCTTCCAGTTCCCAACTCTGGTCACCCCCAGTCCCCACTGCATTCTTACCAAGGCTCTCATGAGATCTTTCCACTGACCATATTTTTACGATCCCCTTATTTGCTTAAAGTAGCTGGGGCTGTTTTCAGTAATATGCAATCCCAGGAGTTCTAACTATTACCTACACAAAGACTTGTGTTTGATAATGTTCTTTGAGCTATTGTCTATAAATTTTAACATTAAAAATAACCCACATGTAAGGTTGTCTATCTTGATAGTCGTCTGGGTCACACAGATATACGCATTTGTAAAAACTCATCAAGTGGTAGACTTAAGATTTGTGTTTTTTGGACGAGACCTGTAGGTAAGTGGGGGACTACTCCTGAGCACCCCCAACGGCTTGGAGAGAGACTTTACAAAGTTGGTTAAAAATGATTATGTGCTTACTACGTGTCAGGCACTGTTCTAAAGTTTGACATGTATTTGCTCGTTCATCAGAGGCCATTGACCAAAGGAGCTACTGAAATGTGAAAAAGTACTATCCGTGCCACTAGATGCCCTTTGCAGGCTGGAGAGGGCCTGAGGAGCTTGGGGGACACACCCATGAACGCATCACCCACTCCTGTGAATTCCCACCCAGACCCCCTCACCTCAGGCAGAGAACTGCCACATCCACTCTCTCTCTCTCTCTCTCACACACACACACACACACACGCACACATGCACACACCCTGGTGCATACACCTCTACATTTGCATTCAAAAACCACACAGAAGCATCCTAAGACTCGGCTGTGCTGGGAAATAACCCGGGGAGGCCTTCCCTCCCAGCCTGGGGAGATGACCAGCTCTAGAGCAATGGGTGCTCTGGGTTCCATTCTGATCACCCCAGCTGACCTTGGAACTATATCCCACAGGGCCTTGCTCTCCTATTCCTGGAAGGGCTTTGGTAGAAGCCTGGGTCTGTGCTCTCTCTGCCTTACTATCCCTACTGCCTCTTTATACAGCAATCTCTCAATGTAAATGTGTTCAAGCATCTCGGGGCCAGAAAGAGCCGAAAAGAGATTCCAAGGGGAGTGAGTGAGAGGAAGAAGTAGAGGCTGAAGTTCATCCTCCTTCATAGCCCCTGAACTGCTACCTTTTTTCATTTCCCTAGAGATAATAATCCTTCACACTTTAGTGTGAATTAGGCTGTTATGGAGCTTTCTTCACTGAGAGGCTCAGCATGATAGCCCTGGGCATCCTGAGTGAAATTGTAAGACACCATTGCAGATGTGAGGAAGAAGAGAGATGTCTGTAAAAACCCACCTTCTCTTAGAATGGGGAAGGCCAAGGGCAGGTGCTCTAGACTCACCCTGCCCACCTACATTTACTCTGAAGGAGCAGGGACCCCAGCTTGCATCTATGATGCCTGGCCCACACTGAAGACAAATCAGCAGCCAGGCACACTTCACATTTAGCTGTTTTTAATACTCGAAAGCTCTGTATGAAAAAAAAAAAATCACAAATGAATCCTCACAACATCCCTGTGAGGTAGGTAAGCAAGTATTATTCTCCCATTTTACAGACGGGAAAACTGAGGCAGAGAGGTGAAGTGACTGGCCAGTGGTCCCAGCACAGTTGAAAGTCAGGGACAACTGTGAGAACACAAAGGCTCCCTCCCAGTTCAAACCCAACCTCTGACCCCTCACCTAAACCTTGTCTGCAAAGAAATTAAAACTTTTAACACATGCAAAAATAATAAAAATGAAAATAACAAATCTGAAAAGGTAGTGAACAGATATACAGTAGTTTTGCAAAAGAATTCAGCCAAGATGGTCAAATATTTTCCAATACTAGGTAGATATGAACAACTTCAGCCTCTTCTCTTCTTTCCAAACATGACCGGGGACACATCCACCTGTTTTTCCATAGAAGTGCATGCACCCAACCAAAGAGAGGCCTCCTTGGCCCCAACGAGTCAGCCCAGGAGGACTGCTTCCCCACTGTTCAACCTCCCAGCCCCCAGAAGAGCTGCAAGGTTCAACTCAACACCGCCTGCCTCTCCTGCCTCTTCTGAACAGCTTTCCCACTGTCTAGATGGAACAGATCCTGGAGGCCTCTAACTCAGAAGCACTTAGCCCCTTCTGCTCCCACTGGAATGGTCCTCAGCAAGGACGGTCTGAAATCCAGGTGACTCCTCATACCATGCTTAGCCCACTCTCACACAATCCACTGTTCACTCAGGTAGCCTAGCTGCCCTCAGGGGCTCCTGCTGCGACAGGTGTGAGTGGGGAGGGACTGATGACATACCAAACCATCTTGGGCTGGTGGGGCAGGGAGGAGGTATGGAGGGACCCACAGCTGGCAGCTTTGGCTTCTTCACTACCTCCCACCTGGGCCTCCAGGCAAATGGAGCTGGCTCTTCCACAGGGCTACACCCACCTTCTGCAAGTTCTTTCTTCCTCTTGAAAGGAGCTCCCTGATGTTACCAACTCCTTGGAAACACATACAGTCCTGCCAGCCTGGGGGGAGGTGGGGGGGGGGAGGGAAGAAAGAGGGGAAAGGAAGGCAAGGCCTCTGCCAGACCCATCCGGCCATGTGGTTAGGGTCCTCCTTGAAGCCTCCAGGCTGGAGATGGGCATGAAAGGTGAGAAAACAGGGTAAAACTGCCTTCGAGGTAACAAAGCCAAGCAGAGTGCTGCCCACTCCCCAGGGAGGCGAGGGCCCGAAGAGCAGTGCTCAGGCAGCTAGCTAACTTAGAGAAGCCAAGAGAGAAAGCAGCAAAAGAATGAAAGAGAAAGAAACCAAAGCTGACCTGTTACTCTGCTCCACGGTCTTGTCAGACTGCTGAGATGGGACAAGAAGGAGAGGATGGAAGTGGAGGTGGCAAGTAGCTTTGTTTGGCAACTTGGGAAGTGAGCGCCTTGGAAGGCTGATGCCAGCCCTCCCTGGAAGGCGTACGCACTGGGTTTTTCTGGAGGCCGTCCACATACCCGTCACTTACAAGGTATGACTGTGTACTAACTGTCCGATAAAAAGCTCTTTCAAAAAAGGGGTCCCAACCCCAGTCTCTCTGGGAAGCTGGGGGACCATTTCCTCAGGGCCACTTCAGTGAAGGCCACCTTGGGCACCCCCAGCCTTCATCGGGCCCTACAGCAGGGAGCAGCGGCAGGGGGAGCACCTTCTACAGGGAGTCCCCGGCAGTGAAGGGCTCCAGGCTGCGGCTCGGCTCCTGCCAGCGGCAGCGCAGTCTCGAGAAAGGCTGGTCCTCCACGCTCTCTAGCTCAGGGAAGCCCAGCTGGTTGAGGATCTCATAGACTCCAGCCTTCGACGCCACCTGGGGAGGACAGCAGAGATATGGGCAGCATTCCAGCATTTGGGTCACCCTGCCCCACTTTGTGTCATCTGGGCTCTGAAGGACACAGGGAAGCCTGGGGCCCAGCACTGCTTCCTACCAGCTCAGCAACCTGAACAAGTTGGTGTTTTGACTGCGATTAACTGCTCTGAGCTTCAATTTCTTTATCATGGACTTAATAGTCTCTACCTCCCAGGACTACTGCGGAGAGCTCCATAACCACCGAAAGCACTCAGCAGATGGAGAACAGTGTGGGAGGCCAAGCACGCCCTGTGCCTGTGTAGCCCTGACCCTCCCGCAGGGGTGGATACTCAGGAACACAGGCTCCCAGCATTACAGCGAGGGCCCACAGGGAAGGCTGACGAAGGCAGCAGGGACACAGCAAGGGCCTTTGGGCTCTAAGTTTCAGCTATGGGCCTCCACACAGGTGGGTCAGCTGGGGCCTCCCTAGACACCCCCCAGGAAGCCCTGTTGTCCAGTGGCCCAGGCCCTGGCACTAGACTCAAAACACCCAGGAAGCAGCCCCCTTGTCACCCCACCATTCAGAGGAGGTGGAAAGGATGCGGGACCCACTCAGAACAAAGGTCCCTCGGTGCCCCTCACCCCCATCTGCCATTCATTCCCAGGAGAGAGGGGCCCTGAAGCTGGAACCCACACTGCTCACTGGACCAGCAGTTCTCTCCTTCCTTGGCCTCCCCCAACGCCCACCACCCAGGTTTGGCTGGGGAGGGGATCGAGCTCCTCTCCAGCCCTTGGCTCCCCCGATTCCCACTCTCCATGCAGAACACAAGCAGAAGTGTCCTGGGACCCCACCCAGGGGCTCAAAGAGGAAGCTGAGCCCAGGCCTGCTCAAGAGGGTGGCCCCGACGTGGCCTTGGTGCGACCCATGCCCTATCAGGTCTCCTGACTCAACACTCATCCACCCGAGGGCCATGCTCAAGGCTTGTCTTCAGCACAACCACCTAGCAGCCACCATTCCTGCCGCCAGGCACGACAGTGGCCTCCTTGCCTCCGTTCCCTCACAGCTCGGACCCCACCCGCACACCCGCCTAAGCCCATCCCCTTCCTATACCCAGTCTGACCAGAGTTCCTGGCTCCCTGTGCTTCCTTCCACCTGCCTGCCCCATAGGAGCTAATGCCGGCCTCGAGTCCAGATTAGAACCGCCAGGACGGGCTGGCGAGGCTAGGAGGGGCCAGCGTCCTGGTGGAGAGTAATTACAGGCCACTGCAGAGGAGGGAAGGAGGCCGCTCTCCTGACCTAGAGGTGCCAAGGCAGCAGCTCTGCTTATAAAACCAGCCAAGCCAGGGGGAGATCCAGGAAGAGCCAGGAGAACGAGCAGAGAGAGACGGTGGAGGTAGAATGCAAGGGCAGTGTCTTAGGCCACACATGGCGGTCCTTGGAGCCAACCAAATGGCTCTAACACTGACCGCAAATGAGGTACTTAACCTCTCTGTGTTCAGTCTTCTCCTCTGTAGAATGTGAAAGCAACAGTTGCCATGAAAGGCAGAACTTCTTAACACAGGGTCTGGCAGATGGCCACTACTTGAATCTCATGGAACCCCCACCACAGCCTTCTAAAGTGGTGCTGACAGTATCCATGTTATTGCCATTTCAATGTTGAGGGCTGTGGGATAGAAGGGTTAACTAACTTGTCCAAGGTCATACTGAAAGGTGGCAGTGGCTGGGCCACCTTGCCTCTCGTAGGGTAGGTGAGGGCTAACACATAATGGGCATGTAGCAGCCAGGCAATGTTGGCCTGGGGGTCACGTGGAGCAGGGGCCCAGCCTGACACACGGCCCCTGTTCAGTGCCCCACACGCCTCGTCTCCTCCCTCCTCTTCATTCATTTATTCATTTACTCCTCAAACTTTTACTGACTGCCCGCCAAGCACAGACACTGTGCTAGGGACCAAGGTCAAACAAGACTGCTTCCTGGTCAGCAGGAGCCTGTCACTGGGGTCCCCACAGGTGATGCTCAGGGCAGCCTCCGCCTCCCGCCTCTCACCTCCCACCTCTCACCTCCCGCATCCAGGTGCTGAAGGGCCTCTGCCAGGAGTCGGTCTTCTCCAGGTGGAGGTAAGCATTGAAGAGCACCAGGTAGACATAGCGCTCCAGGTACTGCAGGCTCCGCAGCTGCAGCCTCTGGACCTCCTGCTCTGATTTGGCTGCCTTCGCCTGGAGGATGGCACGGGGCTGGAGTCAGCATGGGTGTTCATCTCCCCACCATACACACTCACACACAGCATACACCACACACATCACACAGATACACTCACACATATCACATACGCCCCCCCACACTCACTCAGACACACAAACCACCTACACTCACACCATACACACTCAGACACATACTCACATACCACGTAAACCCCTACACCACTGGACACACACACACAACACATACATATACACCACATACCCACTCACGCACACATACATATCATACAGACACCCCATACACACACACGCACTTCTCACTCGCTCATCAACACACACACACACCCCCTCTACTGCCCTTAGCACCAGGGTGGGGACAGAGGAAGGGACTCAGATGGCAAGGCCAAGGATGTTGCTCCTGCCTGAGAGTCAGATGGCCACTCCTGGGAGGCGTGGGCAGGTCACCCGGCCTCCCTCGACCCCCACTTCCTCATTGTGAAATTATAACCATCATCCTGTTCTGAGTAGCAAGCAGACGAGGACACAAGAAGGCTGCCTCAGGAAGGCTCTGTGCAGGTATTGCGCTTGAGGTGTGGAGAGCCCCTACCACATGGCAGGCCCTGTAGCCCGGACATCAGCTCTAACTACCAGAGAGGACTCTTACCACCAACTCCTGTCAGCCCCAAGTGAGGACATCTCCCCAGCCCCGCACCCTCCCGGGACTAGAGGAAAGACTCTTGACTCCTCTCTCTTCCAAACCCTTGAGCCTGCCTTGCGGAGCAGTAGGTATGAGGTCTCTCAACAATGGCCTGGGCTCTGGCCTCCAGCTGCTCTGGGGTGAGTTCACCTCTGCCTGTGCAGAGTGAGAAACCCCAGCTTGACCTCTGACCCTGACTGGTCCCTGAGTTTGCCTGTTTCTCAAATGGTTCAGGATCAGAGATAAAAAGGCATCCCTATGAAGCTCAGACCCCGGCCCTTTCCCTCGCCAAGGCTGGGGACAGAAAGGCCGCCAGGGCCAAGATGCAGCAGCTTAGGGAAGGGAGAGCAGGAACAGCCAAGCAATTAAAGATGAGTTTCCAGAAAGTGTGAGATTCAGCTGGGCTGTGAGGGCCTGGGTAGATTTGGATGGAGAGAGCGAGCACCAGGTGGGTGGCAAGAGGTGAGGATGGTGCCCAGCAAGTGGGGAGCAGAGAGGGGCCGGCCTGGCTAGAATGAGGATGTGGTAGGACAAGGGGGACTCTGCTGGCACCCTGACACCTAGGAAGTTGACTCTCTGCCGGATTCCCAACCCTCTCATGCAGATGCCTGAGCCCCATCCAGACCAATCATATGAGACTCTCCGAGGGGTGGGCCTGGGCGTCAGGACTGGGGAAAACTCCTGGGTGAGTCTCTGTGACCAAGGTTGAGGACTGTGGCCCTAGCACTGGGAGCCAGAGAAGGTTTAGGGGAAAAGTGACCTGTTAACATAAGACTCATGGGAAATGAATGCTCAGGAGGAAGGGGACTTAAGGAGTCCCCTCAAGGTTCTCCTAGGTGTAGGGGTCAGGGGCAAGCCAGGGGCCAGGGCCAGGACAGACGGAGCCAGTTCTCTCCCTGCAGAGTCTCTGCCCCGTACCTGACTGTGCTCTCCCACTCACCACAGATGTGCTGCCCACCCTGAAGAGAACACCATACCTCACCTTGCACCCATATCCCCAGGGCCCACAGCAGCTTTCTATGATCCAGGAAGAGGATGTGGCACGGAGGCCATTCCCTCAGGTACTAAGAACATCTGTAGAAGGGCACAGCCAGCCTGGGCCTCCAGGTAGCAGGAAGGGCAGTCTCCCAACAGCAGGGCCACGTCTGCAAGCCTTTCCTTACAGGCATACAACATCAGCCTCTGGTCACTGTGGGAAGGATCCCAGGTAGGCCCCCCTCCACCCCAGACATGACACGGCCACAGTCTCGCAAAAGGGGAGCTAGAGTGGGCCTGCTTTGGGGGCCTGTGGTTCCCTACCTCCCACTTCTGCCTCAGGTAACTTAGCCTTTGGTGCCTCTGCCATCTTTGCTCCTGGGGTAGAGAGGATGGATAGTAACTTGCACACCCGGCCCACCACACCAGCTATAAGGAGAGCTGGGGGCTTGGGGATGGTAGAAGGGTGGAAGTTAGACAGAGATAGGGCCCAGGAGGGTCCAGAGACCCACAGCCAGCGCTCTGACTCCCTCGAAGATATGAACCGGGTTCTGGTCCCGGTTCTGCCATTTAAACTCTCAGCATCCCCTCACCACCACCCACCATTTCTGGAGGTGGGGTTGCTCAGTAAAGTAGAGTATGAGGAAGCACCTGGAAACCATGAAGAGCCACAGAAGTCCATTCATTTATGGAACAGGAGGGTGGGCTATGACACACACGCACAGGCCCAGCCCGTGGAGACCTGGCGATGACAGGGGTGGAGGTGGGGGGTGGAACAGAGGACAGATGCAAAGCACCCAGAGGGGCCGGATCATGGGATCAAGGCAGGGCAGGGAGCTGGACTGGGGAAGGCATGGAAGAGGTGATATTTGAGGTGGGTTAGGAGAAAGGGGGGCAGAAAGGGAGGAGAGGTGTTAGAGAGTGAGGTGTCTCTGAGGTAGACCGAGGGGGAGGCGCAGATGGCAGCAGGGGTGGGAGTGATTTGTGGAAGCAACACTCAGAGGCCAAGCCAAGCCACGGCCCTATAAACAAAGGGGCCAATGAAGGCTTCCGGTGGATATGAGGGTAAGAATGGCCCCCATGGCTGCTCCAGGAAGATGGGGAGAGGGGCAGTATGCCTATTGTTTTAATGATCAACAAACAAACCAAGTGCTCAAAAAACATGCAATTTTGTTTAGAATTGGACCAAAAAAAAAAAAAAAAGAGAGAGAGAAAGAAAGAAAGATATTCAAATACAAACTGTGGCAAATAGAGTGCAGCTCTGGTTTCTCTACGGGTATTTCATGCTGCACGGTGCTGGAGGCATTCACCACCACCATCCCATACGCCGCTTCCCAATGGGCCTGGAGCCCATTTAAATCCATTTTCTTAGAAGAAAGGAAAGGTAATCGCCCGCAGGCCCAGCAGGCAAGAGCCATTTTAAACTACTTTCAATGAAAGCTCAGGAGAAAAGTCCTGAGAGCATGCAAAGCCCTCAGCTCAGGGCCTGGCCTGCGCACACAGCCACACCAGCCCTGTCCTCTCTGTGCCCCCGCTTCAGTGGCGACGGAGGCCTGCTGCCCCCAGAAACACCAGTGAGGATTGGTTCTGAGCAATATTAGGGGTGGAGAGGATAAGTGATTCTTTCTGAGGCCTACTGACAAGGCAGGGTAGAATTATCTCTAAATTCAGACCACTGGCTGGGTAAAGGTTCCATGGGCACATCCTGCCCAAAGTCTGTAATTTAAGACAATGACCCATCTTCCTATCAAGGCCCTAGTTTCCTTAAAATCACCCATGTTGGCAATGTCTGAGGAGGAGGACAGGCCAGCCACCTCCTACTGATAAAAATAGTGGAGCTGTTTTTAAATGGCCTGGCAGGCCAGGTTGTCATTAGCTGTGGTGCTGCGGGCAAGACCTTCTCGACCACTGGGACTGAGCCCTAAAATAGAAGGGCCCCGGGAAAGGGGGCCGGGGCGCTGGGCATTTCAGGCCTCTCAAACCTGTGGCCAATAGTGGTTTTCTTGAAGCTCTGCTCTTTGCTGGGCCACCTGGCAGAGACCCACCGAAGCAGGGTTGACGAGCCTCCCCAGGTGTGTCCAGGGCCACTGCATGCCACGTGCTGGGCTGAGCATATCACATCCAGGTCTGTTTATTAGATTCTAATCTGCTCTCCCAGAAACCATATGAAGGAAGAGGGATATCGCATTTCACAGGTGAGGCTCTGCAAGGTTAGGTAACTACCCAAGGTCACCCAGTTCCAAGCTGGGACACAAACTCCAAAATCCCAACTCCCCTACCACCCTCGTCAACCACTCCCTGCCTCACTCTTGCCTCAGTACTTATACCCTTCTCTTCTCCTACCTGGAAAGCCTTTTCCTCTGCCAGCCTGGCTGTGCTCGGCTTGTCTCTCCAGGCCCAGGACAAGTCCCCACTCTATTAAAGTCTGCTCTGAGCACTCCAGATCCAACGCCTACCCTTCCCAGCCTCCTCTGCTCCCCAAGACATGCCTGGCCTTGACAAGGGTAAACTGGGGGACAGGCGCCAGATGATAAGCAGGTTTGTATGTCCCTCCTCCCCACCACCCCGAGTGTGAAGTAGGGTTGGTACACAGCAGGTGTCCGGTTGGTCAGTGAGTACTGACTCCCTAGGCCATCTCATCTGGTCTTACACTTCCACTGTCATCTAGAACCTAGATTCCCCCACATGTGCACCTGGGAATCCAAATGTAAATATGCAACTGCCTGCTCAGGGCTTCTCAAATGCACCAAACATGTCCCCAGCGAACCTGCCCAGCTCTCCCCAAACCTGCCGCACCCGCAAGTTTACCCAACTTAGTGGCGACTCCACCCTTCTCGCCACTCAGGCCCAAACATGACACCCCTCTTCGACCTTCCTTCCTCCCTCAACCTCACACCCAGCCAGTCAGGGAATATGATCGACGCTATTCAAAACCCTTCCAGAAGCTGCTCACCCTTCCCCCGCAGTCCAAGCCACCTCATTTCAATGACAGCGCATGACTGGCCT